GAAGTAACCAATATGGTAGATTTCATTTCATATTCATCTTGATTCGGTTAACTACTACTGTTATTTTTCTCATTCAGTCTAGAGAAAAGGTTGGTCAGAAAACAAAAACTGAATTCACCTCTAACTCTAGATAAAAGTACAATTTCAGATCATTACACATGACTGAAAATATAACACTATTAACTAAGTAATGAACTTTGCTTCAAATAAAGCAACTTGCTTTTAAGCCTTAATGAATTAAATGACTATTTTTTCTCCAGCCATGAGGAAGAGACATGAACAAGGGAGGTATATATGTAATAGAAGCCCCAGCACCTAGTACAAATGTCTGACAGGGAGAATGGTCAATAAATAGTGCTTCTCATTTGGCATATAGAAAATGCTCAATAAAAACTGCTTGAGTTTTATTTGTTTCTATCAACAGATTTACCAAACTTTTTATAACTCAGTTGTATGGAGCTATATTTAATGATGTGCCTTTTCTCAATTTCAAATTCTAATTTCAATTCCTGATTCATACCTAGTAAGTTCTAAAGTAATTATAAATGTAAGATACCTAATGTAAGATGTATAAATGTGTGATGCCTGCCCTTATGCTAGGAGTTAAAACTTGAAGTTACTCTAAAACTCAATACTGAAACCTCTTACTGCAACATCATCATTATATTTGGGGCTGTTTCAAAAAGTAAAGGAAAGAAAATTAAAACAGGCAGTGTTTACAGAGTATTTGCTTTCCGTGCATATATTACATATTAAGGCTCTTTAATTCTGAAAACTAATGTCGAATTACAGTATCCACTAAACAATACTGGCTTTATTCTCTTGTCAGTGCACCGTGATTGATGTAAGCACTGGAAAAGAGCATCTCTTTGCCTACTGCTATGAAAAGAGTTTTCCATCTCACCTAAGGTTAAAAATAATGTTATTTTAATAGAAATGGACTTGTTCCCATTACAAATTATTGTCAAGTTATGAAAAATGTAATCATTACAATACATTATTATATTTAAGTATAAAAGCTCTAAGCTGCAATCTTTGTCATTGAGTGGCATATTTTAAACGAAGAGTAATATCCCAGGTCTCTTTAGAAAGCTTAATGCTTAAAAACAGTTTTATCTAACTATGCACAATGAGAAAAAAGCATTATAAAATACATTTTGAGTATGCTATGAGGAATATGAACATAATACAGAATTAAATTTAGAGCAATTAAAAGTAGATTTTGAAGATATTTTCTTAAATGCTTTAATACAGTCAGCACCATTTCAGTTTGCAGTTTTAATGAGAAGAAGCTATATGAGCTGACTTTTTTGACAGGTATTATTAAATAAGTATGTATTATCCAGAAGCCTATTTGGTTACACAAAAGTTGAGGAGTAACTAAAAGTAAACACAAATAGTAGCTTTAATGATATTTCTGTGCTGAAATGTACTTTGATGGTGAGTGTTGTAACGTACTAAATTCTGAGGTTGAGTACAACAGAAACCATACTGTATTGAGACATTCCACCTACAGTTTGTGGTCATGAAAGTCTGATTAAAAGTGGTTTTAGATATATGAAAGTATTTTGGGCCAGTGCCTTCTGTATTGAATCTACTCTTACACTGTTTCACTAAATAAAATACCAATGTGCAAATACATCAGGGTAACTAAATTGCTTCTAAAATAAATATTAAAAGACATTTTATATAAATCTATGTAATTATTATGATTCTTTATCTATTCCAAAGAGGTAGTCTTTAACTCATTATTAATACCAATCATAACTCATCTGAATAAACTAGAATAAAAAAGCTTCTAAAGTAATGTGATAATCAGATATGAAAATAAAACACCAGGTATATTTAGTAGAAGTACCTTAGAAAGACAATCAATAATCGTAAAACAAAAAGTGAGATATTGGCAATTATTACAAAGAAAGATTGTCCCAAGTTGAAATGTAAATAATGTATCTGAGTGGAGATTGACTAGCTGATGTGGGCTGATAAATACCATATTTTCCAAAGAATGATCAGAGGGGATTCCATATTCCTGCTTTATCTTTGTATTAGGAATAATGAGATCCTCAAATAGCCTTAATCAGTAGACTCTTCATAGCCACCAACATAGACATATTTTATAAGTCCTTTTTCTGTACATCAGCCAAGTGAGGGATGGGAACTAGGTTTATTGAGCTTCAGTGTTAAGCGGTATGCTCACTACTGTACACTGATTTTATTTTGTGCAGTCTTCACAGCAACACTAGGAATAGGCATTCTCTCTATTTTACAGATGAAAAATCAAACTCAGAGAATAATCCAATTAAAGAACTTAAATGAATTTCTCATGACTAGCACATAACAGGTTCAGCCTTCAAATTTAGGATCCTCTTAACCAGGCCCCGTGTTCTTCCCTTTCTACCATCCTGTCTTTAATGCAAATGTGATAAAGCAATATAATCATTATTGAGCATAGATTTATCTTTTTAAAATTCTACTCATGATATGATTTTTTAAAATGTCATGGGAAAAGCTTTCACATAATTTTATTTATTTTTTTAAAGGTTTTATTTATTTGACAGACAGAGATCACAAGTAGGCAGAGAGGCAGGCAGGCAGGGGCGGGTGAGGGGGGAAGCATGCTCCCTGCTGAGCAGAAAGCCCGATGTGGGGCTCGATCCCAGGACTCTGGGATCATGACCTGAGCCGAAGGCAGAGGCTTTAACCCACTGAGCCACCCAGGCACCCCATAATTTTAGATAATATAGATCAATTTGATATTTCTAGAAACTTCACTTAATAGTTTTCCCTATTTCATTTTTATACTACAGATCATTAACTTGTGCCCATATGTGTCTGCTGGTCCAAGCACTGGGCATTCGTTGTGAGCAAAATAAAAATGGCATAAGATCTTGTGAAACATGTACTGTAGAGGAAGACACAGACATCAATGATCACACTCAAAAATATACAAATTATGAAATGTGAGAAGTGCTATTAGGGAAAAATAAAGGGTGATAGGTAAAACAGTGTTAACAAAGTGTGGAGGATTGAGGAGACCAAGAGATCAGGTTTTACTGTCTGTTCACCCACAGTTCCTGTCAATATGTTTATATTTAGGTTTGTGGGATGGGGTAGGATTCAAAGTTCACTCTGAGGTCTCTAGTTTGGGTGACTGAGTTTATTGTGAGGATGGCCACGCCAGGAGGGGGAGCAGCTTCAAGAATGAAGATGATGAGCTTAAGCTGTGGAGGTTTAAGAGATTCCTAGGACATTCAGATCGATGTAGGACTGGAGGACATCCTTTGGGTGTCCCAAGACCAAAAAAAAAAAAAAAAAAAAAAAAGAGGAGTGGGAATCTAGATTTGGGGATTACCCACAAATAGGTATTAGATAAAACAGGGCTGGCCTCTGCAAGATGGGTTAGATTTGAAGGTGAGAAAAAAAAAATTTAAGTTGTCCATTTAAAAATCAACTAACAGGGCGCCTGGATGGCTCAGTGGGTTAAGCCTCTGCCTTCGGCTCGGGTCATGATCTCAGGGTCCTGGGATCGAGCCCCGCATCGGGTTCTCTGCTCAGCGGGGAGCCTGCTTCCTCCTCTCTCTCTCTGCCTGCCTCTCTGCCTACTTGTGATCTCTGTCTGTCAAATAAATAAATAAAATCTTTAAAAATAAATAAATATATAATAAAAAATAAAAATCAACTAAATTAAGTTAGTCAGCATTTCCCAGAGAATATGACTCAAAAAACCTAGCTTTGAAAAATGATAGTAAATGCTCCTCTAAATAAATAAATAAATAAGCAAAGAAACAAACATTCTTTCAGGAAATGGTTTGGGTGGCAGTTTAAACAAAATTTAAAAGTTTTTCCAGCCTTTAATATATCAATGTGCCTCATTTCCCAAATGTATTAAGCTACTGAACAGTTTTGTCCTGAAGAGTATTTTATAGAAATGATATTCCAGAGAACACCTGCTGGAAAATGCTGGGCCATTTAAAAGCTTACAGTTAACAATGTCCATCGTTTTTGGTGGACAAACTAGAGTGTAATCAAGAAAGGAATGAAATTGGGAATAGTGAAATTTTTATTGCATTTGGTACCCTTGCCAGATAGGAAGTATTCAAAGTCAGAGCTGTTGTAGACAGCTCATCAGGAGAAAGGCATTGTAAAGAGTGAATTTTAAAGACTGGGGATGAATTGAGGAGGGAATGATTTCAGACAGGGAGATGATCTAGGACAGGAAACTGATAAGGACGGGAATGATAGAGCCGCCTGGGAAATAGACAAGAAAGTGTGAACCTGAGAAACATTTCAAGGGAAGGAATTATGGGACTTGGTAATAGATTAGATTAAAAGAAAAAAAAGGAAAAGATAATAATAAATTTTCTGGCCTGAGAAGCGAGGAAAGATACACAAAAGATTGAAAACAGAACCCTAACGGTATTATGACAAAAGTACTTCCCAACATTCTGCTGCATTTCTAGAAAACATAGTACAGCACTGTCTGAAAGCAGTCTTATCCCTTTGAGTGTTTTCAGTTAAACAAAACAATTTTTTAAAAGTTTTGGACACACACACAAAGAATTTCTGAACACGCATCGAAAATGGTATGCATGTCCAGTCTTCACGTGGTCAAAAAATGAGCTCCAAACTTATAATTGGGAAAGATCTTAACCATGATGAAATTAATTTTCTCAAATCTTAAATTGCTCCAAAAAACATGAATAGTTCTCTGGTCACCTTCATTAAAATGCCCTACATTAAATCTGGCATTTACAGTTTCACATTCAGCAACAAGCTGGAAATCACACTTTTCAAATTCTAAGCAGAAATTAGTTTTAGATTTATTTGCTTTCTTTCCAAATGTGTTAGTGCCCAAGGGCTCTGACAACGACACACTTTGTTTCACAAAGGAAAAAAAGTAGTACTGTTAAAAAAAAAAAAAAAAAAAAAACCCACCAAGCGTTTTCTTTTCCTTTAAAAAAAAATAGAAAAACAAAACTGCCTGGTTTTTTTTCCAGGTGACATTTACAAAGAGGAAATTTGGGTTGATGAAGAAGGCTTACGAGCTGAGCGTGCTCTGTGACTGTGAGATCGCGCTGATCATCTTCAACAGCACCAACAAGCTGTTCCAGTACGCGAGCACCGACATGGACAAGGTGTTGCTCAAGTACACGGAGTACAATGAGCCCCATGAGAGCCGGACAAACTCAGACATCGTGGAGGTGAGAGCGCATGCGTGGTTGGTGAACCCCACCCCCACCCCCAGTTGAGCGGTGTGATGGTTGGACTTCCCCCTTCCACGCACACACGCGCACGCACACATACCGGTTCCTTTTCCTAAGGTGTTCCTATCCCCCACGGATGTCCCCCTGGTTATCACCCCAACATTACCCCACCCTTTCTTTCCTGCAAAATGCAAATTAGAGCGATATGGTAATAGGGACAATGCAGATATCTGGTCCTTGCTAGAAATCAGGCACCACTGTCAACGTATTGACCTCATCCTCCACACGGCCGTATCAGGAATAAGACTTGGGAATTGTGGCCAACACAGGGCTTTACTTATTTTGGTGATTTCTTTTAGGTATAGACTACTGTCACAGCATCGTCAAAGAAAAAAATATTTAAAAATGAACTCACCCCAGCCTTATACTTCAATTTCTCACTTTGTCTCTTCTCTCTAATTCATTCTTCCTAATGTATTCTTACTGAAAGGGTAAAGACAATTATTCTGCTAGAAATGTTTTCCCCCAATTATATCATTTAGTGTAGCATTATTAATATATGCAGAATCAGAAATATGATGAAAATGAATTTCTAAATGTTAGCTTGGTGTTTTATCAAAGTTAGATTTAAAACATTTTATTGTGCCAGAAATAAATAAGCATCACATTAAAACACAAAAATGTTTTTGATTCATTAGCATAAGTAGCATTGCCATACAGTTTTAAACACTTCCTGCACATATCCTATTTAAATGTTATTGCCTTATAATACCCTTCATAAACAGTGAATACTGAATCAAAAAAGACGTTCAATGAGGACTGTCCCTCTCTGTGTGTTTCCCTCACTTGTCTATCTCCTCATGATTACCTAGATGGTGATTATGATTGCTTTCCCAGAGTTAAAAGTAATAAATTTTTCAAAAGTATGAATTCAGGGTCAGTTTACCAGAGTATAGGTTATTCCTGTCATTACTTTTAGACTGTTCCATATTATGTAAAAAATGTAGCACTAATCTTGACCAGATTAATCGACCCCTCACTTTCATTTTCTTTTTACCTGTTATAATTGCCTAAGACTGATACTCATGTCTTTGCCTTTATTTGGAAGTTTTTTAAAAGTATTGAGCTGGGGCACCTGGGTGGCTCAGTTGGTTAAGCATTCGACTCTTGATCTCCTCAGCTCAGGTCTTGATCTCAAACCCCACTTTGCACTCCACACAGGGTATAGAGCCTACTTAAAAAATAAATAAAATAAAACAATAAAAGTATTGAACTGATCACCTTTTTTTTTTTTGCCTAACAAAGCCAAGTAAATAATTTCAGAAAATGAAAGTGAATAAGCTTAATGTGGTGTATGTATAAAATACTTGCAGATTTGCATTACTGAATGTCACTTTAGTTTTTCATTGACATGATTTTAGTTGTGTGCCTTGATGTTGAAATTTAAGGCCGTTTATAAAACTTACCTGAAAACTTTCCTGAAAAAAATTTTAGAAAAAATTTTATCCATGTATACATATAACTGTGAAAATTCATAAACAAACACGAATATGAACAGAACTGGTCAACGTCAAATCTCATAGGTGTTTCTGTGTGTGTGTTTGTGTATGTGAGTTTGTGTGCCTGTGCACTCACACACATTTAACATAAGTTCCAAACACAAAATAACTCAATACTCAAGACTCCATCTCATTACCTAAACCATTACAACAGACACTTCAGGGTATCAGAGTTGAGCTAGAATTTGTCATTAGACCTAAACTGCTCCAGTCCTTAACATGATGTAAAATGCAGTAGAACCATAGTAAAGTATTTGAAAAATGTGCTGACTTTTAAACTTCGCTTTCTTAAAGGAGCTTAAAAATCTAGAAAATTCATTTTTCTGAGAGTTTTAGTCAAGAATATACTGTGTGATTTAACAGAGAACTTCACATTCTCAGGACTTTCATAATCTTGGACAGATGGGTATCTGAGTCAGACTTCTTTAAAGGCCATGAGAAGAGCACTGGGTTCCAAGTCAGAGGGCTTGCATTTGAAACCTTGTCTTGTACACTCTTACTATGTGACAAGTTAGCTACTTCTCTGGGCTGAAGTGTCCTCATCTTAAAAATGAAGGCATTGAGTTTGAAAGTCCTTTGCAACACAATTTTTTAAAAAGCAATACTTTTAAAAGAGAGTAAAGCAGCAGCTCCATTATCTCACATTTAATTCAGTAAAGCTCTGAATCTCTCAAAAAGACAATCTGGGGCTCCTGGACCAAACCTAGGGATGGCTTGATTCTTTGGATGAACAGAACATGTTATAAATCGGTCCTGCTCAACTACCTGAATCACACATTCTTCATCTATTTCGCTTTTCAACATTTCAGTAATAACAGAAATAAATGAGGAAGAAGTAAGAGGGCTCCCTAAGCCTAATAAAATTTACATCACCCCCACGTAGAGTATTTTTCTAAGTGCAGCTCATTGAAATCGCTATTCTTGAAATACTTGGCGGAGAAGACGGAATCTGGATGGAAAACTGCATTTATAAGTTTCCCAAGTAATTCTTTCATACACTAAGTTTGAAAACCTCTGCAGCCCTGAGACATCATTTGTGTTGGGGTTGTCTGACTGATTCAGTCGGTTAAGCATCCGACTCTTGATTTCAACTCAGGTCATGATTTCAGGGTTGTAAGATCAAGCCCCACATCAGGCTCTATGCTGGGCGTGAAACATGCTTGATTCTCTCTCCCTCTCCCACTGCCCCTCCCCTCCAAAAAAAAAAAAAGATGTAAATTTTTTTGGAGGCTAAGAAACTGGGATACATCAGGGATTTGAGGAATCCATCCTTAGAATGAATCTAACACAAAGTTGAGAGTTAAGGTAGTTTACTACTCCCGGGTAAAATTTTAAATCCTATTTATTTTAACTTAATGGAATACATCTAACTGAGTAAGTTTAATGAGGAGCATAATATGTTTCATGAAGGGTCATTAGTTTTATATTTCCCGTTTGGACCATTATCCCTCTCCCTTAACCTTCCAAAAACAGTTTACTCACAAGAAAAAAAGATTGGCACAGAGAGAGAAATAATATGATTCCCAGCATTTAGACCAAAATACAAATTTCTGGGCCATATTAGAGTAGTGTTATAGGGTCATAGGAAATTGTGCAGCGCGTGGGTGTTGAAAAAGATTCCTTCTTTTAGCAAAAAAGCTCTGCGTAATTATCATGTCTTTGCTTGATAATTAGCATTACTGTTACAATGGCACAAAGACAAAGACTTAATAGACAGACTGAGATAGGTTTTTTTATTATTATATTATAATGCAGCTTGAATATCTGTTTAGATACAATATATAAATATGCCAGATTTAGTAAATGTGTTAAATTTTTAATCCATGGCTTTAAAAAACAAATACAGTTACTGTATTAAAAGCGTTTCCTTTGAAGAAAGTCCATTTTATTTTACTATATGACAAGTAGACTGGATATTTACTCAAAATGCTGGCTTATAAGGCTGTTGAAATTAAGTAGGGATTCTGATGATATTAAGGGAACTCTCCCCTTCATCTCCTCCAACAGTCTTAGCTCCATTCCTGGTTCCCTTCTGCCATTCTACCCTACAGTTGATGTTGGGCTCTATTCCTGGAAGATGTGGTGTTGAGCAATTCAAGATGACCTGAAGAATGCAAGGCCCACAGAACACGCTTTTGGGCCATCCTTCTCTTAACAATGATTTAGCAAGTGTCAGCTTACAATCAGCACTGTACAAGGGATTCTGAAACAGCAGAAGACAGGCATTCTTGTTAAGGATATAGAATGTATATAAAAAGCAACTCAGGAACAGTTGGAGGGCTAAGGAGCCCTCATTAATGTAATACAAGCAACTCAAAGGAAGACATAGGCTAAACAATTGATCAAAAGTCATTCAAACAAGTCATTGATCACCAGATCATTGCAGGTGGTCCTTGGAGTGACAGAAGTCCCAGACAGGTTACCTTCGTATCAAACACATTGTCTAACCAAAAACCCATAAGAGAGTGCTGCTTAGCACCTGGCCAGGAGGGAAGATGTCACCCCTCAGTGATTCAGTGATTCTGTTTTCATCCAGTCTGGGCCAGTAGTCAATGACTAAGGGTGGAAGGGGAATAGAACACAGGGCCCTCTGTTGCTCCCTAGGAAATCAAAAAAGATGGACATAACCCCTGCAAAAGAAATCTTTGATTTACAGTTGTCTCAGCGAAGGATTACTTTTTTTTTTTTTTTAGATGCATGAATTAGCAAGAAGTGTGTGTGTGTGTGTGTGTGTGTGTGTGTGTGTGTAAGAGAGAAAGGGAGAAAGGAAGATAGGAGAGAAAGAGATGATATTTACATGAAATTTTATTTTCCATCATCTGAATCTTGTTTGGATTTAAAGAATTCTAAGAACAATTGTTCCACCAAAATGTTTCCTTGCATGGTAATAATTAAGGCCTGAATTAGAACTGAAAATAGCTTATAAATTTTATTGTTTCACAAAGCTCCTAGAGGTTATCAATAAGCTAACTACTTTTGCGTAGCTTGGTGAAAATTGAGAGGTATAATTTTTGTTGAAAACCAAATGCAACAGATAGTGGAAATGTATAAATGTATAAACCATGTATTATCAAATTTGGAAGTAGATGTAAAATATGAAAATCTGTTTATTTTACTTGAGCTTTCATTATATCTAAACTAATTGAGTAGGTTCCAATTTTATACGCTGTATTACAAAATAAGAATATATAAGGGATGCCTGAGTGGCTCAATCAGTTGAGCTTCTGACTCCTGTTCTCAGCTCGGGTCTTGATCTAAGGGTTATAAGTTGGGGCCTGCTTAAAAAAAAAAAAATATGGTGGGGGAGATAAAATTATTTGTTTGCGTGCTTTATAGATGTATAGTACATATCGGTACTCTTTTTTTTTTTTTTTTGCAATGAAGTAACGTGGCTCTTTCTTCCATGGGCTTCTTTTTTTTATTCTTCATTTCAAGTTT